GGAATAAGAGTGGCCGGCGGCGGCCAGGTAGGCAGACAGGGAATATCGGGAGAAAAGGTTGCGAGAGAGGCCGGGAGAAGAATGACGTGATCTCCAAAATATCGTTCTAGGAATGTAGGACATTAGAAGAGTAAAAAATCACGCGTCTGTACGCCGGGCGCCCGCGTGCGCGCGCGCGTATCCCTTTCTCTTTCGATCGAGACGGTCCAGTCGGGATTGGATATTTCCGGGTGATCGGTCTTCCTTTTTCCATAAATTACGGTTATTGCTTTCCACCACCTCGCGTCGCTTCCTTACGCATCGCGCTTTCTTCGGGCTAACTCATGCATGCTGGTCCACGAAAGTATTTAACGGTTAGAACTACCGAACGTTTATTGGGGTTGATATGTAATAATTGTATTACTTTGTTATGGAGATTGTAGCAGTAGATTTTTCTTCGATTTCTGTTGGTATTCATTGTAATATTCAAGTGAAACTATTTATTTTTAAAATCGTTTCAGATATTGGATACTTTTGATATATCCATGATTGTGAAATAAGGAAACTGAGATCCGCTATTTTGGCGGGTAGTTCTAGTGTTAACATTTGGATCTACTGATTGCATATTAGGGTTGATATGTAATACTTATAAAGATTATGACAATACATTTTCTTTCAATTTCTTCAAAAATTTGTTATAATATTCAAATGAAACTATTTATTTTCAAAATCGTTTCGGAGATCGGATAACTTTTAAAATATCTATAGGTGAAATAAGAATTAATACTCGTAGTTCTATTGTTGATACTAAGAACTACCGAGGGTTTAATACTTTGATGGCCATGAAAAGAAACTGCGCTTTACATATCACTTATTCTTTTCTAGTATCGCAATTCTGACGTTACACTATTATCTAATTATTTATGCTACTGAACATTTTTATTCGACATCAGTTATGTTAGAAGTTATAATCATTTTCTTGTAATTTAGCCGTAGCAATCAATGTGTTAATACGATTAATGTGTGATCCCTAGAAAAATTATAACAGTAGATTGTTGTTGGTTTCTTTGTATGTTTATTACGGTATTTTGGAGAAATTATTTATTTTGAACATCGTTTAGGATATTTATAAGTTTGAAGATATTGATAATTGGTAAATGAAACAATTGAAATCATTTTGAAGGTTGCGGTGGGTCTAGTGTTAACTTTTTGGGTGTTCGTGTTGAGTATGCTCGTCATATCAAAAGAAATTCATTTTTGTTGTTTAGAGGAAAATTTTTGTAAAATAAGGGTGATATTCGTAATTTCAAAACATTTTAGAGTAATAACGAATTAAACATTAATAAATAAAACGACAATTAAGTTAATAAATAAAATGTTAGTAAGCTGATCGTTCCAATTAATAATTTTTACCGACCACAATGTCATTCTATTCTACGAAAGCAAATTAAATAAGAACTATTCAATCTTTCTTTTCCTAGCATCTGATTATTTTGAAAAATTATAAACGATATTGTAACAATGTGAAAGCTGCTTAAAAATGTTACTTCGTTTATTCCCATTACAATTTACGCGCGTTTGGGAGATTACAGTTTTCTTTTTATTTTGTCGTCGCAGAAATTGTTAAGTACTTTTGAAATTCATGAAACGTGAAAATCCTGTTCCCGAATTGTTTTATGTAACGCGAATGAAACGCAAAGGAATCTGTCGGTTGAAGTAGCGAACGACAAATGAAACGCTTGTACATTTTACTTTTGACGTTTCGCGTAATTCGAAAAGTTGCTAAACTCGACGTTTACGAAAATTGTTACGTGTAATAAACAATATTTTAATAAAGTACCGCGATTCTTGTATAATATTTTAAAATCATTTATTGGTAACAAAAGAAAACAGAAATAACAAGGATTCAATAAAATTGAAAAGAAATTTGGCCACTTCGACCAGAAGAATTACACACGAACATAAAATAATATATGAATCATTTTTTTTAAAGTGGTATAAATCCATTTTCAGAAAATAATGAATTAATGGTAGTTTTAGTGAGATATAAATATCCTCTTTCTATATTTATAATCACATAATCAATGATGTACGATATCCCCATAAATGAATCAAAGGAATTTTAACTGTAAAATGTTATTGCAAAAATGTTTTTTTTGAAAGTGGAATAAGTCCATTTATAGCTAGAAAAATCGTTTATTTTCTTTAACAATTTGATTAATTATTACTACATAATAAAATTTAACAATTTTATGGTTTTATAAACATTACCCGAATTGATTAACGTTTGCCAATATTTTTAAGTTAATTCGAACGCAAACTCTTAAATATCTCAATGTACGAAAAATACAGATAAAATAAAAGTAAACAAGTTAGACGACAGATTTTTCTTAGTGGAAATAGTAACAAAAGGGAGGACAAAAATTATAAAACCGATTAGTCATGCAATATAGGAATCAATATCGAGTTGAATGAACGAAAGAAAACGCAGAATTTTCAATGAAACTTGAAAACCCGTCATTTGACCGGTCACGGTACTTTTAGTGTTAATATCCAAGTAATTATTTGAAATGTGTGAAATTCTTGAATAACGACATGCACCAAATTCGACTTGCTCGAAAGGTACCGTTACGCCGGGGAAAAAATGATGGACCAGAAGAAAGGGAGGGAGTATTTAAATAATTTGAAGAATCCGGATTTGCGCGAAGAGAAGGATTTACGTAATAAGAATATAAAAACAAAAAATTGAGCCATCCATAGTATTTGATGTTTCGTAAGTTCTTAAGTGCGTCGCTAATCTTTCAATAAAATGTCGCGGAACAAAATGGGAATAACATTTTTGACTTTCTCTTCTGTTATTATTGAATAACATCGGGAAGAACAGTCAGTCAGGGAAGTAGTAAACCGCTGTGACGAGACGACGCGTTCCTTTCTTGTTTTTTTTTCCTTCTTTCTTTTTAAATAAATTATTTCTCGTTGATGGAATATCTCATTCGGGTTTAAAGGACGAGTTTCCCCGCAAGATATCCGGCTTAATGTTATTACACATTCCGCGCGGAGAAAATCAACATTTACACGTTCTCAAATGAAATCCTTGGAATGTTCTTGCCTTTTCTCTTTGTTATTGAGGCCGCGATATTCGAACATATCCGTGGATATGTTTTTAATGTCCCCAGTTTATCGGGCTGTTAGGGAGTTCGCGGATTTTTGTAAAAAGTTACGAAACGAACGCGGAAAAAGATATGTGCCGTATGTAATCTTCGTTTATTCCGCTTTTAAATTGGAACAGAGAAATGCTTTTAAATGAAATGGAATTAATGGGATCGGTTAATATATTATAAACGTTCCATGGTTTATATAATTGTGCTACGACTCCTAATTAGTGTAATTAGGTGGGTGTGATTTTCTGTGTAAATGCAAGTCAAGTTTTGCTTTCGAAGAAAATGAAAGGTTGAATGTATTAATTGGCGATATGTAGGCTGTATGTAGGATTATAATAGGAATGGGTTAATCATCGTCTCTTGTAACTGGTAATAAAAATTCATTTAGACGGCAATGTTGTTTTTAATTGGTCTGTAAAAATTGTGACTTTGCTTGGAGATTTATTGTTTATTAATTACTTTAATGATTTATTTCGCAAATAATTTTTTTATTGTAGATGTGCCCAGAGGAAGCATGAGAAAAATGCTTATCAGTCTCTTAATAATAACTGTTACAATTCTTTCAACGAATGGGTATCCATCGAATCCAGTTGATTATGAACAGATAGGTCTGTATTTCTGTCTTATTTCATTAGCATATAGTATTTCAAGGATTCTCGAAATTTATTTGTTTTTATTTTTATAATAAATATATAATCAGTTTGTGATAATTTACTAAAATATGTAAAATTTCGATTAGATCGAGATTCTTTAAATTGTAGCAATTAAATATTTTATGAATAAATATTTTGCAAATGTGTGCTCGAAATTGTTAATATATTTGCATAAATTAATATACGTCTCCATTGTTAATTCAAATAAATAAACTTACAGATTTTCAGTGATTGTTATTATGTTTCATTCAAACAGCATTTCAAGTTCCTGTGGATCAACAATTCGTCCAACAAACCGCGGACGTAAATTATTTCGATGTCGATGACTCGCAGTCAACATCGTTGTTGGACCAAACGACAGATTTTACCATTAGCTGTTCAGGGCGAGATAGAATCTGTACCAGAAAGAGTGATTGTCTTAATGGTTACATTCATGTCGCTAACAATGTTACTGACTTCCTAGTGCACAAGGTAAAACTTTTCACTCTTGTTTTCAATCACATTATCATTATAACACGTTACATAATAATCGTATAATAATATCGTTATTAATACTTAAATACATTTCATTAATGAAATTT